AGCAGCCAAGCACTTAACCACTGTAACACTAGGGCTCCAACTCAAGGTTTAACTGTTCTTAGTGACTTTTTTGGAGCCTTCAATATCAAAATCTCTCTCTCTCTTATCTATCCTTACATAACACGTTTCTTTAAAAGGTCGTTTTTATTTTCTTATTACAAAAGTTGATGTGTTCATTAGAGGAAGAAAAGTGATCATTAGAAACCAGAGACCTTCTTGTTACCTGGAGATCAGGGTCAAGGTTGTTGATGGTGACGGTGTGCTGTCTAATTGCTCCTAACTGACAGCGTCCCAGTATAGGGTTTCCGAAGCAGTAAATCTTATGGGAGAAGAAAGCCTCATCTTTCTCCCTCGGAGAGACTGGTAGATTCAAACGGCTCTTAATCCACTCTGCTCCCAGGGCTCTGAAGCCCATCAAGTAGAAAAACACTGGAGGAACTGGTGGTGTTGGCCCACCGTAGCTGGCAGAGTAGGTAATTGGCCGGGGTTTTGAAGGAAAGCAAGAGTTACACGGATGAGCACCAACAGACCGAGCATATTACCTGGTCCAGCAGAAGGTGGGGCTCAGGCCAGCACTGCCGTGAGGAGGGGCCCTCTTTCTGAAGCAGAGGCCTTGTTAGGGCAGAGCTGGAGGGGACACAAGAAAGGTGTCAGGTGTCAGGAACAGAGGAAACACAGGAGCTGTGTGAGACACAAGGGGGCTTCAAAACATTCACAGGAAAATACAGTTAAAAAATGGAATGTTTCCACTAACTTACCCTTCCTGGTGTGGTGCTTTAGGATACTCACTAGACGATGAACCACAAGGTCAGCGGTTCAGATCCACTGGCTGCTCCTCAGAAGTCCTGTACAGGGTCCCTATGAGTCAGTAGTGACTTGACGGTACTAACAACAACATGTACGTTTACTTCTGCACGTATATAAATGTGTGCTTATAAGTGTGTGTGTGTTGTGTGTGTACTGACCCAGGGCATACCTCCCCCTTTTCTAGACCATAGTCTCAGGGACCAACAGCCAGTACGATTGTTTCCAGGGACTATGTAAACCTCCTTCCTGGTCACTGGTCCTGAAGTTAGTTCTGCCTGCGTGCGACACCTCCGGGCCAGGGGAGCGTGAAGATGGGCTGTTTGTGGGTGGGCATGTGGGCCAAAATGTCTAGTGTGGGTTAGAACTGGGAGTGAGGGGAAAAGGCAGATTTGAGGGCTGTACTGCTCTGCGGGACAGGCCTACCTGGGGAATGCTGGGCTATGGGGTCAGTGTGGACCTGCCTGCTCTGTGCTCCTGGGACGTTGTTGGGTAGAAATGTCTGGGCAGCTGGATCCCAGTTGGCTCCTTTCTTTGGAACTGGGGGCAAGATTGGAACCTCTGGAGGAGGAGAGGAGATGTAAATTGGCTTTGCTCCCAGGGAACCCTTGGGCACTGAAGCCAGCTTTGCTCCTGGAGCTACTATTGCAGTAAACACCTAACCCTCACCTTGGGATTCATAGGCCCTGTGGGACTGAGGTATCTTTCCAGAGGCAGGCAGCCTCATCTTTTTCCCATGGTATGGCTGATGGGTTTAAGTCATCTACCTTTCGGTCAGCAATGTAAGTTTTTACCCACCACGCCACCAGGGGTTCCTTAGTAAAAAACCTTTGTTGTTGTTAAGTGCCATGGAGTCTGTTCCAGCTCACCGATCCTGTATAGGGTTTCCAAGGCTATAAATCTTTGCAGGAGCAGAAAGCTTCATGTTTCTCCTACAGAGTGGCTGTGAGCTCAAACTACCAATGTTGCAGTTCACAGTCCATTGTTTCTCCTATAGAGCCACCTCCCTCCTAGTCAGAAAATTGTCACTGTTACTGACCCAGGATTCTGACTCAGAGTGACCCTGTGGAGACTTTCTGAGGAATGACTGGTGAGTTTGAACCGCTGACCTTGCGGTTCAAACCGACTTTGCAGTCCAGTGCTTATCCTACAGTACTACACCAGGGCTCTGGTAACTAAAGTCTAGCAGGTACTTAAACATGAACCTTCTGATACATTCGTCTTGATTAGCATCACGTGTCTAAACAGCTCTGCAAAGACATCCAAAGAGAAACCATCCCCCTCTATAAGAGTTGCCACAGACACCAGACTGTTTGCTCTAACCGACATTCTTGTTATGTAGGTGGGGGGTTATAGCGTGTGTATATGTATTTTGATGTTTCCCTCTTTCCCATTTCTTCTTTGTAGTACACTTTTTTTTTTTTTTTTTTTTTAAAGCACGGGAAGTCACAGGGTCAAGGAGAAAGAACAGGGTCAAGGGGAAGACACAGTTCAATTTATGGCATAGGGTGAGCTCAAATGCAGTTTCAGAAGAGACTGCCAAACAGCTTTCTATGGTAGTTCTGCCGTATCATACCTCTGCCGATAGATAATGTGTGGAGATTCTCGCTCTTCACAGCTGGGCTAGTATGTGTGATGTTGTCAGTCTTTTGCGTTGTCCTGTTGTTGTTAAGTGCCATCCAGTTGGTTCCATCTTATTGCACCCCTGTATAGGGTTTCCAAGGAGTGGCTGGTGGGTTTGAACCGCCGATCTTGTGGTTTTCTTACCCCAGCCAGTGCTGATCCTACATTACCACACCAGGGCTCCCCTTTTTCCTAATGGGTTATAATATAGCTCATGGTGGTTTTTAATCTGTATTTTTCTGATAAGTAATACTGCATCTTACCATATGTATTTTGGGCACTTGGATACTCTCTGTAAGAAAATGTGGGGTTTGGGTGGTTGTTTTTTTTGGTTGGTTGGTTGGTTGGTTGGATAGAGGTGGGTGGAATCCCTGGGATGTCCGAGACCAGCTCAAACCTCAGTAACTTTGGAGACGACGCAGCTTCAACAATAAGACAAAGATACACGTTAGAGATCAGGGAGACAGCAAGACTCATGATATCAAAGACCAAGAGCTCTGAGACAAGGCTTGTCTCCAGCTTTATTTTCTTGCTTTCCTCCAGCCCCCCAGGATGTCATCCATCACATTAGCATCAAAGGACTATGTACGGTCCGCTGGGAAGGCGTTTTAACATAAACAAAACCGTTCTAGGTTCATATAGTAATAGGTCTCATGGAAGCATAACACCGAGTGTCGGTTAGCACATTTACCCATCTTGTACCCAGTCGGTTTTCTGTCAGAGTACCTATGGCAGATTCCTGCTTCCTCATGACATTGTGCAAACGGAAGCCCCTGCCTCCAGCCATTCCCCACGGTGGTCTCCAACACTGGGACTCTGGCCTGTGGTCACCATTCAGGTCTGGAAATGAACTCACCCCCCTGGTTCAGTTTTCAGCCAGAAAATAGATTTATAACCCTATGCAGGGTCACTGAGTCAGAACCGACTCAGTGGCATTTAGTAATGACGACATAATGGGGATGGAGTCCTGATGTGGCACCATAGGATAAGCACTGAAGTGCTAACTGCAAGTTTGGTGGTTCAAACCTACCAGCTGCTCCCAGAAAACCCTATGCAGGGTCGCTATGAGTCAGAACCGATTCAACAGTGCTTAGCAACAGCAGCAGAAGCGGTAACTCTAGGGGGTAGGCACCCCTTAGAATCATCCAGAGGGCAGCTCCGACCCAAGGACAAAGCTTAGGAGGGCTAGGGAAGGAGGAGGAATGGAGACAGGAAACACAGGAGGAGGTAGGATGCTGTTACATTGTGGGAACTGCATTCTATGACATGGAACACAGTGTGTATGATTGTTGAGTGGGAAACGGCTCTGCTCTGTAAACCTTCACCCAGTTCATAATACCAAGTTTAAAAAAGACCAAACAAGTACACAAAAATTGCCTGTTCAAATCCGTTGATACGTTTTCTCCGTTTCTGATGTGAATACAGGAATGGTTTATATTCTCAAGACCTTTTTCAAATACAAGGGGACTTCAAAAAGTTTGTGGAAAAATGGAATTGAAAAATAATACAGTTTTTCCACGAACTGTCTGAAGCCCATTTGTATCTTCACCTCTGCTGATGGCTGCCCTCCACTGGTCCTGCTTTCATGGCTTTAAATGAAGACAAATGTCTTTTCATGTGCAGCCTGGTCACTTGACTCAGACTGGCCTCCGTTCAGACATCCTTAAGATTTACCATCCAAAGAAAGGTAAACCTTTTCCCACCTAGCTCTCCGAGACCAGGATTTTAAACCTCATTTACTCAGTCCTAGGTGAGGCTTGGTGACACTCGGGTATGGAGAAGAGACAAGAAAAAGAGCAGCATGTAATAGGGAGAAATCGAGAAGCTGGCTGGTCAGGAGTGGAGAGTGGGTGGACGGTTAGGCCACTTGCAGGCCAGTCCTGAGGATGGTCATGTGCTGGGCAGTGGTGATGCCTCTCAGGTGCTGCAGGGGACAGACCCAATTCCTAGTATAGAAAGTTCCCAGGGCCACAGAGGAGGGAGGAGTGCCATTTGGCCCCAGTGCAGCGGAAGTGGAGCCGCACCTTGAGATGGAGAAGATGAGGAGGGTGGAGGTAGAGGTAATGACCTGAACAAAGTCCCAGGCATTATCAGTTTACCCATCTGCTCCTTGGTTATCGTAGGAAGTGGGGTAGAAGTCCGTACATCCTTTTCTGGTTTGTGGAGGCCAGTGGCACCAGAGGCTGGGATGGACTCTGAAAGGGCGTGGAAACCACTGGACCTTTCCGAGTGGGGCAGAGTGGTGGCCTGGCCATATTGGTTGCTGTGTGAGGCAGGGACTGGAAAATGTGGATTAAGGCAGAGTTGAGATGAGGCTGTGATACCTTGTTGGCTGGAGGTGGTGAGAGACAGAACAGTGAATACCTTGGCACTTCTTTGTTTGAAGCAAACAAATACGCACCTACCCGGGTGCGGACAGGAGGCCTGGTCCTGCCTCTCACAGCCCTAGTGCTGGACCCGAGGCCAGCTGCTGACTTGGTCCCTGGGGAGTGACAGAGCCAGGGCTGAGCTACCCCCGGATGTGCTCCCATGACAGCTGCCTCTCATGTGTTTCAAACACTTGTGTTTTCCAGGACCTCCTCCTCGGTCAAAGATAGCAGCTTCGTGGAAAAGATGAAGAAGACGGTGAGTTTGTTCTGCCTGCGTTCTTCTTGGCGTGTCCTGGCCCTAGTGGTCAAGCTGAGCAGTCCAGCAAAAGACCAGCGCCACTAGGCGGGAGGAACCCCCTGACTAGGAGGGAGTGGCGGCAACTGAGCGAGACTGGCCCCCTTGTGTGGACCTTCTTGTTTGACCAAAGCCCAAAGCTGCTTCGCTGTGGCTGGAAGGTTTGCTTTGTCCTCTGGCAGTTAACTTTTTGAACAAACCATATTATAAGAATTGTTCTTGTTAAATGCCATCGAGTCCATTCCAACTCGTAGCGACCCTGCGTAGGGTTTCCAAGGAGCGAGTGGTGGGTTTGAACCTCTGTCCTTGCAGTCGAGTGCTTATCCTACAACATACCAGGTATCCCATAATAAGAATGTTGTTGTTAAGTGCCGTCAAGTCAATTCCAACCCTGTATAGGGTTTCGGTGGAGCGACTGGTGGGTTTGAACTGCAGACCTTGTAATCCAGCGCATTATCCTGCAGGGTCACACAGCCCCTCCCTAATTTACCAGCGATCCTCAGAAACTTGATACAGTATCGCCCTGTGATTCAGAACTGATGCAACAGCACTTCCCAACAGAAACGCCTGGTGAGGGTCCTACTGCGCCTCCGCAGGGAGCACTGCGCCTCCATAGAGGACCACTGGACTGTGAACCACAAGGTCGGCAGTTGGAGCCACCAACCGCTCTGTGGGACCAAGATGAGATTTTTTGCTGCCACAGAGATTTATATCCCTGGAGACCCTATGCAGGGTGGTTAGGAGTTGGAACTGACTTGGCGACACTTGACACCAGCAAAAGCAATGGCGCTATAGATTAAGCACCAGGCTCTTTCCTGAAGGCTTGGTATTTGGAACCCGCCAGCCGCTCCTTGAGAAAAAAATGAGGCAGTCTGCTTTGTAAAGGTTGGCACCCATGGGGCAGTTCCACTCTGCCCTGTAGTCGCTCTGTGACTCAGAATGAACGTGAAGACAGTGGGCTGAGCGTGGACGTGACTCATGATGGCTTCCCGTCTACTCCAGGCTCTGACCACCAGCGCATGTTCACCTCACACAGCTGTGGTCATTATGAAGTTACCATCTTATTGCGTGTCTGTTTCTGTGGAATTCTTTAATTGGATGAATAGGTACCACACTCACATGGCAAAACTATTCTGGGAAACGCCCCCCTCATGTCCTTGTCACTCTTCATGCCTCTTCCATGTAAAGTACCTGCTCTTAGCATGTTACATGCACTTCTAGAGCTTCTGTACAGACAGACAACTAGAAACAGATAAAAACAAATACAATACAAAATCCCAGGAGTGAAATTGTTGGATTAAAAAGTATTTGCACTTGTTAAGGGGAATAGAGCCTTCAAATTGCCCTCCCTAGGGATTACACCAAAGAGAGGTACCCCAGTGGAATGCAGAAATTTATCAGACTATCACATGCAAGTAAAATTTCGCTAAAGGTCATTTAAAAATGACTACAGCAGTACACTGACGGAGAACCACCAGATTTTCAAGCCAGATTCAAACAAGAACGTAGAACAAGGGATATCCTTGCTGACGTCCAATGGATCTTGGCTGAAAGCAGAGACTACCAAAAAGATCTTTACCTGTGCTTTATTGACTATAAAAAAAGCTTTTGATTGTGTGGATCATGACAAGCTATGGCCAACATTGCAAAGAATGAGTATTCCAGAGACTTCATTGTGCTCATGAGGAACCTGTACATAGACTAAGAGGCAGTCATTCAAACACAGGAGACACTGAATGGCTTAAAATTAGGAAAGTTATATGGCAGCGATGTATTTTACCAGAAGAACGTGGCATCAAGACTGAAGGAAGACTCATTAATAACCTTCAATATGTTTGCTGAAAACAAAGATGACATAAAAAATACTTACTGATGAAGATTAAAGACCACAGCCTTCAGTATGGGTGCACCTCACTGTAAAGAAAACAAAAATCCTCACCACTGGACCGATAAACAACATCCGTATAAATGGAGATAAGATTGAAGTTGTCAAGGACTTCATTCTTCTTGGATCAACTATCAACACTCATGGAAGCAGCAGTCAAGAAATCAAACCGTGTATTGCATTAGGCAAATCTGCCGCACACGACCTTTCTAAAGTGTTGAAGAGCAAAGATGTCAGTTTGAGGACTAAGGTGCGCCTGACCCAAGCCATGGTATTTTCAATAACCTCATATGCATGCCAAAGTTGGGCAGTGAATAAGGAAGACCCTAGAAGAATTGATGCTTTTCAGTTTTGGTGTTGGAGGAGAATATTGAAAGTGCCATGGGCTTTCAATATTCTGTGTTGGAAGAAGTGCAGCCAGAGTGTTCCTTGGAGGGCAGGATAGCCAAACTTTGTCTCTCATACTTTGGACATGTTGTCAGGAGGGACCAGTCACTGGAGAAGGATATCATGTTTGGTAAGGTGGAGGGGTCAGAGAAAAAGAGGAAGACCCCCAGCGCGATGGATTGGCAAAAGAGCAGCATCAGTTGGCTCAAGTATGCCAACAGTAGTGAGGTTGGCCCAGGACCGGGCAGTGTTTCGTTCTGTTATACATAAGGTCACTATGAGTCAGTACTGACTCGATGGCCCCTACCAACAACAACAATGGACAACACTCGTGAGCAGTGGATGAGAACCCCTACTGCTTTGCCAGGAGTTGATCACATTTGGATTTTTTGCTAGTTTTCTAAGTTAAAAACTGATCTCTCAGTGTGTGTTTAATGTGCATTTTTCTTACAAAGTCAAGCAGATTTTCATGTTTGGATGGCAAATTTTTTTCCATTTTTGTAAATCCTCTACTGACATGTTTTGCCCATAATTTTTGTTGTTGTTTTCTTTTTAAAGCTTTTATTGTGAATTGAGTGATAGTTTACATGGGAGAACATCAGTTTTGCACTCATTCTATAATTTTTTTTAATGTTTTATTGTGAGTTATGTGATAGTTTACATGGGAGAACATTAGTTTTACATTCATTCTATCGTATATTGTCTCATTGTCATGGTTACAATCCCCTCCATGCAATCCTTCCCCTCCCCTACCCCCGTATCCCCCAGGTCTTCAGCACACAGTCGCTCTCCCTCTCTGGATCTAAAGTCTCCAGCTGCTCCATCGCTCCACGTCATCATCTCTGGCTCCATTTCAGGCATCACTGCTTCTCTGGGTAGGGTCCCGCTCTCTGCTCTTCTCCCTTGATGGTCCTAGGGACCTCCGCTCCTAGACTCTATCTCTGCGGCTCTGTCAGGCGTCTGTGGCTGCTCCAATCCTTTCCCCAGTTGGCCCCACACAAAATGGCGGCTCCTGGAGCAGCTGAGCATCCCGAACCAGGAAGCAATGGATTTCTTGCTTCTGCCACAAACTCCCCAGCTGTAAGTCTTCCAACCTTCTAAATATTCCATTATATGTGGTTCAGAGTACTAGGACCATTCCCTGAGCCTTCTTGGTCCAGTAGTGTGTGTTGTTCTCAGCAGAGCTCGTCACTACACTTCCACCCGATCCGCCATGTTTTTCCGGAAGCCTCTATCATATTTTGTTTCACTGTAATGATTACAATCCCTTCCGTGCATCTCCATTCAACAGTATTGAATGTATTCAATAGTGTTCTATTCCCTCTGGTGTTTTATTGGCTTTTTGATATACACAAAACCACTCAGGCATATGTAATCATTTAAACAACCAAAGGGCACATTTTACAACCCTGCCTCCTGGCTGCCAGCACTCAACCTTTCTCTTTCCATGAGTCCAGAGTCCTCATCTCTGCCTCCATCTCTGGTGTTGCTGCTTCTCTGGATAGGGTCCCACATTTCACTCGAGCTCTTCTCCCTTGATGGTCCTAGGGTCCTATCTGTTCCTGGACTGTAAGATTAACTACCCTCCTCCTCTGTTACAAAACTTCTACCTTTACAGTTGTGACAATTGCAATTAGTCATGGTAACAATTACTCACTATTAAATCATAAGAATCTTATCCCCATCTCCTTTCACCAGACCTGTCTAGGCAAGATGAAAACTATTCAGTGGGGATTCTACCTTCCCCCACACACTGTGAAACTAAACTCCCTCTTGAAAACTTGTAAGCCAGCCACTTCTTGTCTTTATAGCACCCTCCCCTACCCCCCCACCCATGGAGTCCTGGTGTGGTGCTGTGGATTAAAGCGCCAGACTGCAAAGACATTTGAACTGCAAGGTCGGCAGTTCAAGCTCACCAGCCGCTCCTCGGAAACCCTGTACAGGGTCGCTGTGGATTGGAATCGACTTGACGGCACTTAACAACAACATTTTAGATAGCCAGTGTTGAAGTTGCCCATCCCTATCAACTTATGTATACAGAGGAGACAGGCTTGATCCTTGATGTAAAGACTCCTTCCCTCTCGGTTGGTATTTTGAGCTTTGTTATTGTTAAGTGCCATCAAAGTTATTTCCGATCCATAACAATCTTGTGTAGGGTTTCCAAGGAGCAACCGACCTTGCAGTTCAAACTGACTTTACAGTCTGGCGCATTAACCCACAGTACCATACCAGGACTCCATTTTGAGCTACTACATCCGTAAGGATAGGTTAAGTTCATCAAATTGTAGCAATTTACATTTACTTCCTTTATCAGATTTCTTTATCTTCCTCTAGTCAAGCTCTGGTAAACAAGACATCAACATGTTGCCCATAAGGTTTTATTGTGATTTGACTGAATGTTTATGGAGCAAATTAATTTTCTATTCAACGATTGGAAATGCACCAAATTCCGTTTGTTTCATAACATGGACTGCGGTCCCCACAGTCTACCTCCTTCCCTGTGTTTACAATTCCTGTTTTCCTTCATTCCTGTCCATTCTTGTCTTCTGAGCTTTATTCCTGATCACCTGCTGCCCTTTTGATCTGGTGTGGAGGAATGTTCTCGGGAGTGTTACTGTTCACCCTAAAGGCCTGGCTGTTGTTTGGATGGACACTGATTCCGGGGGCTGCCTATCAGACCAGCAGCCCTCATTTTTAATTATGATTTTTAGTTTGGTTCCCCATTTTCTCCCACTTACTCCAGGGCCTTCTGATGGGATTCCTTTTAGAGCATTCCATGGTGGTAGTGGGGCATCATCTCATTCTTCTGGTCTCAGGGCCCTAGAAGCTGAGGTTTTTGTGGTTCAATAATTAGGATTAATTCTTTCTATGGGTTTTTTATTTTCTTCACTCTTTTTTACTCCAGACAGGGAGAACTCAGTAGTTGCACCTTTGATGGGTGATGTTGTTGTTGAGTGCCACTGAGTTGGCTCCAACTCACAGCAACGCTCTATAGGGTTTCCATGGAGCAGTTGATGAGTTTGAAGTGCCGACCTTATGCTTCACAGCCCAGTGCTGATCCTACAGTGCCACACCAGGTGATGTTGTTAAGTACCAAGGAGTCGGTTCCGACTCACAGTGACGCTGCAGAGGATTTTTGAGGCTGTAAATCTTTACAGGAGCAGAAAGCCTCATCTTTCTCCCATGGAACAGCTGGTAGTTTTGAACGGCCGACCTTGAGGTTAGCAGCCCGATTCGTAACCACTGCATTACCAGAGCTCCTTACACCAGGTGATAGCAACCTTTAAAGACCTCAGTTGCTGTGACCAAAGTGGGGAATAGAACATAGGCTTTGTGGACTGTTTTATGCCCACTGACCTTCATGTCCCCCACAGCTAACAAGTAATTTGTCTTTTGACTTTGCTACCAGTGTCTTTTTGTTTTGAATGTAAAAGTTACATCGCTGATTTCTCATTCTCTCTTTTTATGGCATCTTGGTTTTAAGTCATTGTTTGAAAGACTTCTCCCACTCTAAAGCTATAAAGGATCCTTCCATGGTGTCTTTTAGTACTTTTATTTTTTTTTTATAGTTAAATTTGGTATGTTAGGAATGTGTCATGCTATAAGGTATGAAATATAAACCCAACTGTTTTTTTTTTCCTTTTCTCAGCTGTCTAAATACCCTTTAATATTGTTAAGTGCCATGGAGTCAGTTCTGATTCATAGTGACCCAGTCCATTTTTTCTTTTCAACAGCGTGTGCTTACTTACTTACTTACTTCTGTCATATGTTGCTAATCCTCAAAAGATTTGACTTTTCATAATGTTAGCAGAACTTTGATATGGCCAAGAAACACTAAGACTTTTATGACTCACTTTATTACTATGGCCTAGAACCAAACCCACAGTACCTGGGAAGTCTGCATGTACATTAACAAAATACTCTTAGTGTACAATATACATGTTTGGATCCTAGTGTACAATATAAACTGGTTACAGTCTCTCGCCACTTTATGTAGTGGTTTTCCTATTAATAAGGATGGGTCAGAAGTGTGATCTTGACCGGCTATGTGTGTAAGATTACCTAGGGGACTGGCTGGCTGCCTCTGCAAGGAGACGCTGGTCCCAACTGTGCTTTAGAAAGAGCTGGAAGCAAGGAAAAAATGAGTATGCTCCTGAGAGGGCCCTACCTGCCTGACCCCAGTGGGGTCTCCTGATACCACCAGTGAAGCCTGTGGTTTGGGCGCCTCACTGATGGTGTGTGTGACTTCTTGTAGGGGAGGAACATCGTTGTGTTCTATGGCTCCCAGACGGGGACCGCTGAGGAATTTGCCAACCGCTTATCCAAGGATGCCCACCGCTATGGGATGCGAGGCATGGCAGCAGACCCCGAGGAGTATGACCTGGTAAGCTCCCCAAAGCACTCTGGCCCCCTCCTCAGAGTCAACGCTTTAGGATAGGTACCAGGTTGGGATCCTAAACTTTAGGGTAGGTACCAGGTTGGGATCCTAAACTTTAGG